AGCAAATGTTTTCCTGCGTGGGGCGATGCAGGAGCCGAGTTGGGCTGACGGCCGCAGCAGAAGAGAGAAGCGCCAGCCACCACCGACAGCAACAACAGCAACAACAAAAAAAAGCAGCAGGTTTTGGGAGGAATCGGGTCTGCCCGCGCAAGGTCTTGCGCTAAAAAAAGAGCCAGTGCTGCCCTGGACGGTCAGCAGCAGCCGCTACAGGTGGTGCTTAAATACTACGTGTCACTGGGGACCGAAACCACGCCACAGAAAATGCGACTTTCGGAAATTCTGAGTTACCGGGTTTTGCTTTCTCGCTGGGCGTTTCCGTTTGTCCTGCGCTTCGCCGGCTGCAATTTAAAACTGCTCGATGAGGGAGCGGATAAAGCAAACGCACTTAGACCAGGTTACGGCGCCCTTCCTCTACGTTCGAATTAAAAGCGTGGTTTAGAGTGTTACCAGTTTGGCATCAGAGGTGTGTGTATTTGGGATGGGTTTTTTTTTAATCGCTAGAGGTACACCTTGTCCCATGCTAAGCAGGAGAGCGTGTGCTGAAGGAAGGCTTTAACGAGGTTAAGGATACAAAGAGGTAGAATCTGATTTCTTACTAAAAAACACCGAACTGCAGCAGGAGCCACCGCAGGTGGTGACCGGACTGGGTGGTAGCTCCAGCTGTCCCTAAGCAGGAGGACCCGGGTGCTCCGCCTGTTCGGGCACAAAACCAGCGGCGTGACTAGAGAAAAAACAAGAAGTCCCTTCCAGGCGACGCTTGCCCGCGTCCCGAATTGTGCCGAAACCTGTAAATCCGACACCAAGTCCCCAGCACAGGCAGGAAGGCGTCCTCTGAGGCAGAACCTGGCCCTTCGCGGGGTGAAGGTCCGGATAAACAGCAAGGACGGGGCGAAGGGATAAAGAGCATCAAGGCCTCACTCTGCTCTTTGAACAGGAGCAGGAGAGAGTTTCCCACGTCCGTGCCAAAAACGACAACAACAAGAGGTCAAACCTGGAAGCGCGGTCGGTGCCGTACTGCCTCGCAGAGAGCACAAGCGCCACGCAGACTAAGCAGAACTGCTTACGAGAGCTGCGTCTCGATGACGGTTAGTCAGGTGCTTTGAATTATTTCGGGAGAAGGCAGGCTGGTAACAGACGGGCTGCCGCAGCGCAAACGTTTTCTGTCACCTAGGCGCTGTTTGGAGCTTTCTAGAACCAGATAAAGAACATTTGCCCGGTTATCAGAAGGAATCATCGCTCAAGGCCACCTTTGAAGCATTTGTCTCGTTTATTAGTGGCACCGCCCAGAAATATAACCGTAAAACTCATCTTGGCATTGGTTTGATTGCTCCTTTGAAAGGCGACAACAAAATCCGCTGCCTTTTTTTTTTTAAAAAAAAAAAAAAAAAAGTCCGTTGGCTGCTGCCAGAGCCTGGTGGAAGAGCTCCACCCGGTGGCATTTCGCAAAGGCACAGCTGGAGGCTCAGCGCTTGCTTCTGGTTTAACCGGGGAGTCTCAATTTCCAATATTTCTCCTTAAATGAGCAATGCAGACCAGGAGAAAGCTTGGTGAGGCACTGCTCACAGCTGCTATTTCTTTCTAAAGAAACACATCCGTCACAGACAAAACAGCCCAACGATCTCCCTCAGCCCCTTGCTCCTCTTTGCGCTTGTGGCATCTGCCCTGGGCTCAAACACCTGAACACCTGACGGAGAAACGTCCACGCTACCCGTCACCTCCCCGGTTCAGACGAGGCACCAAGCGCTGAGCCTGGCGCTCGAACTCGCAGGATCCGTCCCTTAGAAGTTTTGTGTGACAGAACCGTGGCCGTTTCTCCGCCTAACGCTGACTTTTTAAGTGACAGCGAAGACTGGAGGGTTGCAGTTGTCTTTTGGGACATGGGAAGGAAGGATGGAAGTGACTTTTTTTTTCCCCTCTGTTTTACCAATCCTAGGAGATTTCTTGATTTTCAGAGGATTCGCCTGAAAGATTTCTCTGATGAAGAGCGATAAAAACTGTTAACCGCAAACAATCCTCTCCGTAATAGACATCTTGATTACAGCCCCAATTACAGGATGCGTGGAATTACAATCATCGACACCCAGGAAAGTTAAAATACACCCTGCCTCACTAAAGGCATTTTTACCATGGAAAAATTGGGCTCCTGAAGTTTAATTGTGGTTTATACAGCTTCAGAATTTCCTCCTCTAGATGCTTGGTAGATACCAATCAGGGAAGATATGGTCCCCAGGAGACCTACTAGCCACGGAGGAAAGCGTCCAGCCCAGAGAAATCCCGGAGGCAGCCAGTGGATTGCATTGGAGAGATCTGCCAGGTCGGCGAGGATGCTCAGAACTTCAGCCTTCACTCGGGCTTTCACTTCCCTTCGGCTCGGAGGCGAAGATGTACTGCTGGGAGCGAAAGTAACGTTCGTGACAACGACATGACATACCATAATAATAATCAGCGATAGCTCACAAATGAGAGCAGATGTATTTGGGTTAAGTTAGCTGTATAGCCAGGGAGGGAAATCATACCACTTGTGCTGCCTCAGCTTTCTTCTTAACTGGAACAAGATTCTCAGGGATCTGAAAACAAGACAACAGAGTCATTTCTCCTACAGCATCAAAGGGGAGGGCTGGGTTTTTTTCTCTAGCGTTAACGGCGGCCGTGAGGAAGAGCGCCCTTCTGCAGCTGAGAGGGCCCTTCATTTTAGCCCGATTACGGAGAACACGGTTCATTCCCTGCCCGTCTCCTTCCCACCGCAGACTGCGGCAGCCCAGCCAGCCTTACCGCAGGATGCCCAGGAGCAGGGAGGAGGCCCAGAGCGCCGTGCTCAGAGTCCACCACTTCTGAGAGCCGGCGCGGATGATGCCGGCGTCAGCCGCCCACGCGACGTGCTCGCAGGGGTAGTAGAGCTGGTTGGCCAGGTTGCAGAGCACCGACAGCCCCCGCACCAGGACGTCCTCGTCCTGCGGGGAGCAGGGGGGGACACGCCTTGGCGCCTGCGGCG